TTCCTGCTTGCAAATGTAAAATACAACTAAATCTTCTACATTAAATCTTCTACATTAAATCTCCTGCATCTCTTTAGAAAGAAATGCACAAATGATGGATTAGTTATCTATTTCTGTCATATCTGTGCTCTTGATGAACATTCATGCATTTCAATATCAATGTCATTCTAAAAGTAAAAGGATTGTTAACTCCCTTACACAAGTGGAAGCTGTAAGCTCAAAAAAACTAAGGCCATGTTAAAAAGGAACCTTCATTGTGACTTGGAAGTATTTGTAAATAAACTCTTAAAGTGTACATGGGAGGAAGTGACAGAGATGGGAAGTACTGGCTTGGAAACGTTTATTTGGACTCTCTAAAACTACGTAACATTACTCTCAGTAGGTCTAGGAGGTAGTACCACGATCTTAAATAAACTGCCCTTTAAAAATTAATTCAAATTTAACAGAGTAGACTGAGAAAAGACTTGTATTCCAGTGTAGATTCAGTTGAAGAAAAGCAGTGTGTATTCCTTTGTGCTGGGATGAAAGAATGATTCTCCCATGTGGCATTTTAAAGTTTGTTATTTCAACTCCAGAGGCAAACGTCTGTGCCTATGTCAAATTTGAGTAAGAATATATATGACCAGTGGTGCTCTTTGATCCACTCTATAGCACCACAGCAGTGTGGAGAATCAGGGTGAGATACATGCTTATTTTTCAAGGATACCCAATCTGACTTCTACTGATTTAAAGGCCATACCTCTACAGTGTTTGGTTTATTTCCAGGTTTACAGAGCCTTCAAAGGCTCTGTAGTGACCTCTGTGAAGATGGCAGCTCCTGTGAAATTACGGGATTCTTCCAGCCCTCAGCTTAACTGGCCACAGAAAGGTGCAGGATAAAGCAAGCAACCAGAACTCAAATACAAGCTGATTTCAGTTGTTAAAGAACTGCAGATCCCTCAAGAAACAGGTAATAAGCTGTAAGTGATGGGACCACGTAGGTTTGTGTATAAGAGAACAGGGAGAAAAATGCTGAGGATGGAACAGACAGCAGGAGATGCTTCAGGTGCAGGATTTAGCAGTGATATGGCATCATCAGGTGGCTCTTTCGTAACATTTGGCTGGCTGTTCTAGTAACCCTGGTTTGGCTGTCCATACCAGCAAATCCACTATCACATCTGGTACCTCAGTAAAGAAGAATGTGAAAACAAATTAAGGAGCCAGTTTTCCCTCTTGGTCATTAAAGCGAGAGGCTTTTGGTTTAAATGAGGGGTGTGAAAGAAGGAAGATTGCATTAATCTGGGGATTTGAGTCCATAAGAAAAGAAGTGGGTCTTACTCATTTTTGTTTGTCCTAAGGCAAGATTTTTTGGGGGACAAACCTGATGGTTGTAACACACGTGTTTATATAGAATAGAAAGTAAAAAGCAATCTGGCTTGCAGCATACCTAAGGTATGCAGGTATAGGCATAACTCGGTTGGTCCCGTGTTGAATTTTTAAGTTGAATTTTGATTAGTTGAATCAGACCATGTCTATTTGAGTTAGATTTTAAGCCTTTTAAGACTGTCCTTTGCAAGAGGTCAAATTTAATGGTTGTAATCGAGCACAATATTTCTACTCCTCTTGTAATACCAAGCACAACGAAAGCCTTGATCGTTGTACAACTTGGATTGAGTTCAGGTTGTAATATATGTGAGCATATTTAAATTGCTACTTCAGGAGAAATAGTTAAGCCAACCAGCAGTTAGTTTGTGCCCAAACCTCTTCTGGCTCCTTCTGGTCTTCCTGCCCATGTTCCTCTCTACCCAGAATAGTTCTGCTCCTCAGAACCATTTCTTTCAATGCAAATGTAAATTATATTCTGAAAGCTGAGGATGAAAGTTTCACCATCCTTCAGGTGCCAAAACCTGATTTTTGGTTACATATTATGTGTTTTCGTACTACTAAGCTTATTCTTAGCTCCAAAGTACAAGTACTAAAGAATTAAGTCTGTTATTGGTAGACAATAGCAAAATACTTTTTAATTTTTTTTTTTTTTTTTTTTTTACCGGTAGTGGTTGATAGACTTGGAGGAAAAAATGGAGACTCATGACCAGGAAAGGCTTAGACATATGGAAGAAAATAAGTTGTCATCCGGAGATCAAAGCGAAAACATACTCCAAAATGGTGACCTAAGTAGTCAAAAGGGTGAAATATCTCAAAATACCAGTTTGAAAACACCCTTTGAGGACAAACAGACAGAGGTGTCTGGGAAGAAGAACTGTAGTGTGAGAGAATTCCAGGACATTGCGGTGTCAGGAAGAACTTCACCAGGACAGAGTTCTTATCAGTGCAGCGTGTGCAGGAGGCGTTTCAGCCGCAGCGCAAACCTTTTCCAGCACCAGCGTAGCCACGCGACAAAGGGAGCTTACAGGTGCACGCAGTGTGCGAAGAGCTTCAGCCGCAGCTCAACTCTGACCCAGCACCAAGCGGTACACTGCAGGGAGCGCATATTTGAGTGTCCAAATTGTGGTGACCGTTTCACGCGCAGCTCCAGTCTCACTCTCCACTGGAAGACTCATGAAGGGGAGAAGCCCTTTGTGTGCAGCCAGTGTAGTTGGCGTTTCAGTAGTGCTGCTGAGCTGGCGGCTCACCTGGGGTTACACACGTGAATTCGTTGTGGTTCTTTGTGCCTCATCAGACTGGAACCACAGGCATAAGGAAGAAGCAATCCCTCTATAGGACCACAGAGCCCCTAATCCAAAGAGCCTGCTTGGAATATCAGTTAATTGCTAAGAGTCCAGTGGCTGAGGAATGAATCTGCTGTCTTCTAATGCATAAGCGTCTGTTGGGATGGAAATAGAAGTTTGTATTTATTTAAAAGATAGAATAGGATGGGCTGCTGGCTGAGATGAGAGCTGGGAACTTCAATGATACAGTTTTGGTTCTGAGTTCAGGTGCAGGATGACACTGTGCTAATTACTTTGTCTCTCTGTCTTTATGACTCACAGTTTAAAAAAGAAATGTCTTTTTTCACTTAGCTTTCTCAGTGTAGAGTGTGGGCTAATGTGTGCCCAGGTACTACAGTCATTAGAGACAGATGAGTTCAGTAGCTTAAAGAGCAACTTGTTCTGAAAGCCTAGATGTCTCTGTCCTTTGCTTTTTAACGGAAGATTTTCTAAACCTCTGGGCTTTAGAAGTTCTTTCAGTGGTGTTTGGGTGCCTAACTTCCAAAGTCACTGCTGAATATTAGCCTTTTTGTAACCATCCAAGATTTCTGAAGGGGTAAGTGCTGAAATGATCTATTCTTTCCTGCCTAGTGCTTACAGATCTGCATAACTCCTTGGCATCAGCAGGAGGATTGGCTCCTCAAGTTAGGAGTCTTCCACTAGAAATCTTTGTTCCTAGCTTGCTTAAATAATAATGTAGTTGAAGAAAAAGGAATGACTTGAAAATTTGACTTAAATCTAGAGATGTGAGAGTAGTGTCTAGCATGCTATTGTAAGCATCAAGACAGTCAATTAAATGCGTAATTGGAGGACTGGAGAGAACTTTCATTTTACTGTCCATTTCATGGACTTGTGTAACAGTTACTTTATCAACTTAGTTCAATGAATTCCAGTATAGATGGTTGACAACTTGTCAGTTAACTTAGACAATGTAGAGAATTTGAGCAGTGCTCAATATTTCATTATAAAGAGGAATTAGGACAAAAAAAATCCTCCTGATGGTAGATGCTAAACCTTAGAAAATGTGAATTTTAAAGTAATATCTCATAAGCCTGTTTATTTGATAGGTTTCGATGCAAATTCACTCAGTGCTCAAGTATTAAGGTTATCTGACTTCAGAGTTGTATTTTTTCATAAATCAAAGCAACACTGAGGATGGGGGGCGGGAGAAAAGGGAGACTTCGTTCACTGCATGAATCCACTCATGCTTGAGATAGAGGTTAGCCATCAACTGCTATCTATTCTTGTCTCGGCTGGATGACCTGCTGAGGTGATTCAACAGTTTTTTAAAGGAAGTTATAGAAATGTCTGAACTCATATTCTTACTGGTGTGGATGATGTTATCTGTCCTTCATCAGTCAGAGTTCAGAAAGAAAAGGACAAAAGAATGATCATTTCTACCACCCAGATAATTTTCTGGATATTTCCCTTCTTACAGTGTGCTGTCAGTTGCTGGGATAAGGCCAAAACTGTCGTTTGGTCCTCAGGAGAAGGCTCTTAAAACTTGAAGGCAAACAACGAGGGGCAGAAAAACTAATTTCAGACTGGCTATTACCTAAATATGTTATTAAGAGTGGAGATAATTTTACTGTGAGGTCAAGAATGGTTTTCCTTTATCTGTACAAAGTCCTGCAGAGTGCAATCGTGCTTTACGGACTTGAGAGCAGAGGGTGAGAAGTGTGAGTATGTGTGGAGCTCTGGACATTTCTGAGTGGTGTCAGGGAGGGTAGAGAGAGACGATGCCTCTCTCCTCCTCAGTTGTAGTCCCAAGTAGGCGTCCCTTAGCAGTCAAGATTGTTACACCCAGTGCCTTCCACCAAAATGCCCATCTCCAAACTTCCAAAGCTTACTCACTCCCTAGAAGCCCCCTGGCTGGGCGATCTTCCTCTCCTAGCAGTCTTTCCTTCTAAACCTTAGTTTAGCTTTGCATGTTACAGAGAGCATGTGCAGGGCACAACATCCCTCAGGGTGGAGAACTGGATGTAGCATGAAAAAGGAAATAATTCTAAATTTTACCAGTATTTAAAGAATGTTCAGCTTCTAATGCTTAACAGAAAGGCAAGGGCAAACTGAGTAGTCACTAATTCAGTTAAGTAAACATCACCTTTTACTGTATAGAAAGTATTTTTGATATTTTCAGATGTTGGAGTATGTGTCTCAGCAACTTTTTCTAAGTAATTTTTTTATTCGAAAACTTTTTCTAAAAACAAACATACCGAGACTAAAAAGTCCATTTCATGGAAGTGTATTGACTTAACGTTTAAACTCCTGGCAGACACAAACAAATAGAAGCAATGTTCCAAGCAATTTTGAAGTTGGCCCGTATAAGGTTGTGCTTTCACAAACACAAATACTGCATTTTTAGCATAGATAAACCAAGCATGAATTCAGGCTCTAAAATCTGACATGCTTCTAAATCCCAGTATTTCTGCCCCTCAAACTAGTATGGAAGGTGTTGGAAACATTCTGATTTTCTGTTTGGTGTCAGACAGACCCTCTCCCCCCAGTGAGTCTAGCCTTCGGAAAAAACTCAGCACCTGAAAAAAGATTTTACGTAAGTGTTAGATAAGTGTGGAAGAGCTACTATCTGTTCTGCCTTTAAATGGCTGCTAAAATGGTGTAAAGCTTTTAGATCATTAAAAATTTTGCAATCAGCACATTTTTAGCTTTTGAAATCAAATGTATACTGACGTAAATATACTTGGGTATTAAAACTGAACTTTTCAATAAAATCGTGATAATTGTCTTGTTTCATTATATTGTTGGGGAGAAGATGTGACCTGGGACTGTCCCCTTCATGAAGGGTTTGCAAGCTCCCTGTCAGGTAGGAATACTAGAGTCTGATGTCTCTCGCACCGAGGCAGGATGTTAATGGGTGCTCCCTGCTAACCCCCCTTGTTGCTCGGCACGTCCTTGCCTTTCTCTCCCTGTTCATAGCTTTTGCAGCTGAATACAAACTGAGAAGTCAGAAGTTCGTTCTTTACAGATAAATTGTTGCCGATAAGCTTACTAGTTTTCCTATGTCCACCTAAATTTCTTAGTATGGTCTTTGTTTTAGAATATTAACGATTGCAGTGTTTTTATTAAAGTTATTAGTCTTGTTTGATTTGAAGGAGTGAATTCAAACAAAACGCCGAGTTTCTTTCTGGTTTAGGTTTTGGGAAAAGAAAAGAAGGGAAAAGGGGTAAAATAACTATGTGGGGAAAACAAAGACGAAAATTGGGACTCCAATAAGAAAAGGTAATTAAAAAAAGGCTACAAAAGAGAAGATAAAGAGAAGGAATTAGATTGAACCCTCCCCAATATAGATTTTCTTCTCATTTACATTAATGGAAATCTACTAGAACTCCAATGGGTGTTCTTATTTACAAGTGTTTTTGAATGGCTGCATGAATAACGCACATTAACTCTATCCCAGCTGAAACCAGGACACTGTGTATCGGATTTGAGATATGTGTGGCTTTAGATGGGCTGTGGGAGAGGAAAGCCTAAAGCCTGAAATCCTGTACCTCCTTTCTATATGAATAAATTGGGTCCTTAAAAGGGAGGAGAGGGAGTACTAGAATTTTTATAAAATAGAAATAAGAAGAATTCATGTTTTCTGTCTAATTTGTTTTAAATTACTTCTGAGTAGCCTATTGAGGAATAGAAAACAATGATGTTACTGAATGGCTGAATATTTATTACTGTAGACAGTATGTACTTACACAAATGTGTTGCTGCAGATTAGAAGTTAACAATTGAAGTCTGTGGAAATACCATACTGCGAAACTAATATACTGATGATGAGGCCCAAAGGATCCTGTCTCAGATTGAATTTTCTTACAGGGAATTTCATCAGACTTGAGCTTACTAAAAACAGAACCGTGTTACCTGTTTGCTCTGTGAGCTCTTTATGGCGATTGTGTTCTTTGTGGTGGAATGCCTCTCTTGCTACTGTCCAGTTTTTCAGAACCTACCCTGTTTGAACAATTTTTTAGCATTTGCTAGCATCTTTTTGACCTTTTCGCCCTTTCTATAGCATTTATCATGACTAGCCTACCCGACTTTTTTGTAATTGCAGCAATTGCTGTGAGACTGTGTTACAGTGACTTACTACATACTTTCACTCGCACCCTCTTTTCATTGCTTCTTTCCTGAATAGAAACAGGATGGAAAGTCTATGTTCGTGATATTTGTGAAAAATATTCTCTATTATGGTAGCCAATCAAAACAAAAAATTAGAGTCAGGGTTTATTAATCAAAACTGGACAAATCTTAAATATTCATTGTTTGGTTAATAACATAAAATTTTAATGAGAACAGCTTTATAATGGGTGTCAGTGCAGTGGAGATGACTACAGATACTTAAGTATAGTGTAGACATATCTGAGCTATCCAGATGCTAAGCACTGATGTATCTGTCACAGCATCTAGACAGTAAGGCCTAAATTATTACCAGTGTACATTCTAAATAATACACTAGTTCAGAAATTTCTGCTCTGCCCTACAGTGTAATAGAAGAGCCACTTGTCACTGGAGGATATGGAATTGGATACAGGAAAACTTTGGTGACTGCGTAATGATAGCTGTGAACAGGACAAGGAAATTGAAGTTGTATAGGTTGCTGTAATTCTGACGTGTTTGGATTTTTTTGAACACAAGTTTTTGCATTACTTAATATTTAGTTAATAATAAGTGTGTGAAGAGTGTGTGTTAGCTTCCTATATTCCCAGCAGAATATATTCCTTTAATATTAGCAATACAGAGAGATGTTCAACATGCTAGGCAGATCTGGACATCTTTACACATTTACTCAAAAAGTGCTACTCTGCAGCAATATGGATCGAAGTTGGCTGTCAGATGGTATGTAAGTGAAAGCGTGTCTCCAAATTATAACATAATTTTGAATATTTTTCTCTGAAATTGCCTTAGATTTGATTTACTGCTAGAACAAAGTACAT